AGGTCGAAACTGACAGAATGTCGACGTTGACAAAATATTTAAATGGACAAACTGTTTGAATCGACATAATGCCTCAATGAACAAAATATCGATTCCGAAAAAAATGACGATTTCGAAAAAATGTTGAATCCGACAAAATGTCTAATTCGACAAAATGTAAAAATCGAACAAATGTCAAAATCGAGAAAATTTCGGAATGGACCAAATTTAGAAATTTGGTTATTTCTTTGTGTTCCTCGAAAGACACTATTTTCTCAACAAACATTCTCCGGCGCCATTTCGATCAGAAATACCATTTCCGTGCTTCAATTTTTTGAAAAATCTCAATGACAAATAACAAGGTTCAAAATGGCCAAACTTTAGCAAGCATGGGAATTAATATTGCCCATAACAAACAATTGCCCTAGTAGCACGCTTGTCACAAATCGGTTGTGGCAACTTCTATACAACTTATATCAGTCATAAACAAGTTGCTGCAACCTATTTTGACGGAAATGTGCTCGGGTGCGCAAAATTTGATACAAATCGGAGAAAGTTGATTCAAAAATTCAATTTTTATACGCTTTTTACCTGGAACTGTTCTGTAGGAAATTTCCTATGGAGTAGTTCCAGACAACAAGCGATTCAAGCACTATTGCAGAAGCCATGAAATTCATTTTCACTATGGTTTCATAACTTGGTATCGAGTTAGTGGACATCGACTTGTGGAGACTTTACTATACCTACATTATTTGTTTGAGTAAACAAAGATGGTTCTGACCAGGGGTTGAAACGGTTGACGTTTTTTACTACACTCGCTTCGTTCTCGTACGTGACAGTCTGTTTGTATTCGTACACTCATGCTCTACCGTCGTTTCTATCTCACAACACGAACTGTAGAATAGCATTCGAGCTTAAAGCAAATTATCAAATAACTATCATATGACACGTGTGATTTCGTTGTAATTCCTAGGACATCATTGCTTGCTATTTTCAGAATTCACATCTTATTATGAGACAAACTAAAATGCATACATTCGTGACGGTCTTCGGCGACAGTGTCGTATGACAGAGCCTGGCATATGACATTTTAGTTTGGTACTGTACTGTGATACACAGCAAAAAAAATGTAATATCGATCAACGTAATTCAAGCTGATGTATGAAATCATGATGTAATAGCAAAAAGCAGATACAATATTATATCAATGGATGTAATTTTGTTCGCAAAATCGATGTACATCGTACAATGTGATATTACACAACCGATGGATTGACCTGGTTGCAGCGGTTTCGATGTAATATTCAACAACTTTTTTTTGCTGTGTAGCTTGTTTTGCAAGTGTCGGAGGCAAAGGCAGTCAATTATCACAGAAAATGTGTCGACTACCCCTTACAAGACTGGTTCGGACAAGAATTCCATTTTAGTTGTGAAGAGAATTCAAGACGATTGTGGAATCAAAAGAAATGATTACTTCAAGGTTATCCAGAGGACCTTCTGATTCCTGGTGAAAGTTGAGAATAATTCCAAGGGAGTTGTGCGAAGAATTTGAAGGTAGATCTGAGGAGAATTTCAATTCTTCCTAACTCGATACTAAAAGGACCATCGAGTGAGGGAGAATAACGAGTTATGATGGCAAGTTTTAGAAAATTGTATCGAGTCAGGGTGAATATTGAGTAAGCGAGAGATCGAGTAAAGGAGAGTTCACTGTATTTCTATTTCCCGGCCATTTTTGGATACCTTTTTTTTTTTTTTTCCTTTATTTAACGTCGGTCTCTGTTCCGCAATCTAGTGCCAATCACCGACGGACATCGATTGCCATCCATTGACGGCAACCGAATGTGCAGGAAGGCAGCTTCCACACCTGCGTAGGATATCTCACCCATTCACAACATACATGGGCCGGGACCAACGGCTTTACTTCCCTTCCGAAGGAAGACGTGACCAGAGATTTTTATGCCTCAGAAAAATCCCACCGACCTCGGCTGGGATTGAACCCAGACCCACTGGGGTGTTAGAAAGCAGTCACGCTTACCACTACACCACCGGCGCCGGCATTTTTTGGATACCTAAAAATTGTGTTACAGCTTATGGCTCTACCCGGGAATTCCCTGGAATCTGGATATTATATAATCTGGTGAACATATAGATAATTACATAAATTTAAGATGTACATATATATAACACTTTTTTAATCTAATTCGTTTATTTTGAAGGCTTAATAGCGCTAGCTTCACGGAGCCAATAATTCATCTTTGTAACTTACAAGTTTTGCCTAAGTCTACGTCTAGTATGGATGGGATCAATTACTTGCGGTTAACTCGAGGTTTGAGTTTTGAGGAAAGAATCAGGGGAGAAGCTTGGAAAAAAGGTTTCGTTGTCTCATGGCATTCAACAGTTTGTTCCTCTTATATGTTTTGCTGATCGACCAATAAAGAAGTTAATAGTCTAAACCACCAATTTAAATCGGAGGTATCCTCAGATTTTGTTCTGAAGATAGTTTTGACTTATCCCGGACGGATGTAGTACAAAAGGTCGAAGTACAAAAGGTCGAAGTACAAAAGGTCGAAGAACAAAAGATCGAAGCACAAAAGTTCGAATTGACAATAGGTCGAATGGACATACACTCATAAAATAAATCACATAACCAGTGGAAAATATCCATGTGAATTTCACATAACTTTCATGTGATCCAATAATTGGAAATTGCACCACTAAATCACATAAACGTTATGTGGCCAATGAAATCTATATGATATCTCATATAGAATTTCTAATGCTATGTGATATTCAGGTAAAAATTATTGTTTTTGTTTTTGGAAAAATACTGTGTGCGAAACTAAGTGAAAACTTTTTTCAGTGTAATGTCCATTGAAATTTAATGAGACAAAATGTCGAAATGTATAAAAGGTCGAAGGACAAAACGTCGAATTAAATTCCAAACGTTAACAAAAGTTCGAATGGATAAAAAAGTAGTTCACGCTAATTCTAGATAGAGTTGAAATTAGTTCGTAACAACTTTTCGTAACAACTTTTGTAAAAAATTATTTCTTTCGATGATTTCTAGAAAGTCAAGGCTCGCCAACGCAAATCAACATCACCATCGGATAGGGGAAGACCTCCCCTATCCAATGGTTATGTTGATTTACGTGGGCGTGCCTTGAATTCATAGAAATCATCGAGAGAAGTCATTGTTTACAAAAGCTGTTACGCCCTAATTCCAGCTCTATCTAGAAATGATGAATCGGAAAAATTTGACGTTCTCCAATTTCCATGAAATTTGGCATAATTATTTTGTTATAAGGAATGATTCATATTTTTGCTAAAATTCGGCCGTTTTGAATCTTGTATAATTTTCAAAATGGCGACACTTCTGATCAAAATGATCACTCTCTGTGTAAATTTCATACGAATAACTTCTTGGTGTGGGAAGCCCATTTAGTCAGAATTGTCCCGACAAAAAGGGAAGAATTCAAGTTAATCGGTCCGAAAATGCCAAAAGAAAGCCGACTGATTTTTATCAACCGTACAGTTTTTGAAATTGGGTGACGTCCCAGCTCAAAATCAGCTATCCCGTTAGAAAATTGTGTCAAACTAGTCTTGAAATTTCCATTGACACTTCGAAATAATCTAGTGAACTGTTCAACATGAAAAACTACAGAGCGGTCGCTGAAAACCGCTGCCAACGAGCGAATTATGACTGCAATGGTGAAACTGAATCGCTGTTTTAAATCTAAAAATATACCACCGCTGAAGTTGCCCTTACCAACCACCAGTAAAGCATTTTTTGCAAAATGATTTTCCAAGCTTGCTTCGACCGGCGATTTCTGCATTTTAGGGTTGCTTTATTCAACACAATTTGAATATTGCCTCAACTTATCTGACTGCCTCTAATCTCAAAGTTTTCCATCGTGAAATATAAACAAAAATCACGTTTTATGTAGACCATTATTTTCTCATAGAAATTCTTTAAAAAACGGCCCATTTTCTACGACATACCATAATTTGCTCACTAAAGCAAAATCCTACCACAGAATGCCATGACTTCTGTGTGTGTTTTCAAACAAAAACCGCACCACACGAAAACCTCCATTGTCTACAACTGTGACCATTTGAGAGTCGTGATAAATTACTCTCATTCTTCTTCAAACTCCACTCCCCGCACCTCCGCTAACCCTAGAAAACCCAAAACATCAAACGCCATGTAATTTTACAATGCTATTTGTTTCTACTAATATATGTACTGTTTGTATGTTGTACACGGCGGCGTTCGAAAACCACAGAGAGAAAAAAAACATAAGCACAAACAGAAGGAAAAGTGGTTGTAATTTATGGTGTTCTTCCCCCTACTCAGTCCCCCCCCCCCCCCTTTCCCTCACAGGGAGCTACTCTAGGAAAAACCATTTAACGGGTTCGTCCTCTCATCATCGCGGGTTGCGCGCGCTCATGGAGGAGGAGGGGCCTCCAAGTCACGGATTGGCTCGCTCTTGGAATAGTTCGCTCAAATATTATTGGTAAGGTACGTCCACGACACGGAAGCCGCCGCCGCCGTTGCCGCTTTGTGCGAACTTAAATCGAAACTACACGAGCGAACTACATTCGAGAGAAAAACGGGAAAACAGATGCAAATATGTGCAACGTGAGGCGGTTTTTCGTCGCGGGGTCGTAAAATAGAAGAAAGAGCTAATTAGAAGACGGTAAGGCGAATCGCGAAGCAGGCGGTGGACAAATATTTCCCAATAGCGCTCCAGATCACGACACGACCGAAGCGCGATTGTCTGGAGTTTTCCGGCTACTGGGGTTTTTTTTTTTGGTTCGCTGCAGCAGCTCCAATGGCAACCGTGGCCAACTGCGATTGGTTGGGATTCAGCAGAGCGAGGCGGAGTTGCTTCGATTCGATTCCCCGTTTGTTTGTTGTGTAGCGATTTTTCTAATGCTTGTTGTCACGTTGCAATTGTTTCGGAAGAAGCGAGGGGTGGGGTGGGGGAGGCTAATTAAATTTAGATAATGGCTGTACTTACTCGCATCCCCCGGGTTGGTCACATTTGCCGTGTATCTGGTCGCATCCTGGCTTGCAGATTGCTGTTAAAAAAAAATAACAAAAGAGAAAGTCGTGTTAGTTTTAATTTTTTCGAATTCAGAGGGATCGTCGTCATCGACAATCGATCGAGGTCAGCTCGGCGGGTGAACCTCTGACCCCCCCGACGCCATATTCGAAGAAGAGACAACGAAATAGCGCTTACGCAAAAAAAAAACAAATCACCCCATCGCCATCAAAATGTCTCCGCGATAAGATGCAATAAAATTAGGGAATTAGAGAAATAAAAGGAAAACAACAGCGATCGGCGGAGGCTCAATCAAATCGTGGGACATTAGGCATGGCGCTTTCGTTTCTCGATTTTACATAAGGCGACGGCGCAACGCGGCTTTCTCTCGTCATAAGTCACACACACACACACACACACATTCGGAATCAAGCGCGCGTCTCTAGATTTTTGATTTGTGACGAGCCAAAGCCTACTGCTGTTTGCTACGACGGCGGCTAATCGATCACCGCATGCGATTACTTTATCGGACAGCCGCGTCAGTTTCTGGTTGTTGTTGTTGTTGTTGTTGTTGTTATGAAATGGACCTTATGCTTACCTTTCTCACAGTTGGCGCCCTGCCAGCCCGGTAGGCACACCTTGTTGCCCTGCTCGCCGCAGGTATAGTGCCCAAACTGGTCGTTCCGGGGCCGGCAGAACGTCGTACAGGTCGTGTTGTAGTAGTTGTCTGCGCACTGCACTCGGACCCTGCATCGTGAAGAAAGGAACAGAAAATTCAAAACAATAAATTTATCCGAAAAAAATAAAAACACTGGCCAAAGCAAGCCATGAACTCCAGAACTTACCGATACGTGATCCGGGCGTTCTTCCCCGTGTGATCTAATGTATTCCATTCGTGCGAGGGCAGAATGACACCGGAAAACGAGGTCTCCTCGATCAACCGATCCGTTACTGTGGATGAGGGAAAATTTTAATTAGCGTCCATGTTTTTTTTTTTTTCGATTAACGGGAGGTGATCGCCTCTTTAGCAGGAGCATACAAATTAGAGCAGTGGCGGCGGCAGTGCTGTAACAAGATCGTTATGCTAATTTTGCTGTTAACGCGCGGTGGGAAACGCGCTCGCCGCGAGGAAAATGACGAATTACAGCTCACGAAATCGATGGTGGTGCGATTTTTCGCGACTCGAAAACTCCATGTTGGATGAAATGAGAGCATGTGTTTTTTCACACCCCTGCCGCCACTGCCGTTGCTGCCTGCTGATCGTCATACTTACTTGGATAGGACTCGTTGAACGTGTCCAGGGCTTGCAGAATGAGCGTGAACGATTTCTGGAAGAAAACGGACGGAGAGAGAAGAAAAAGAACACACCGTTTAGAAACAAGAGCAATTAATTAAAACTCAATAGAAGCCTAGCACGGCTCGGTGGCGCGTTAGGTATTTAATTAATTTCCCATTGTTTCGGAACTCCGGAGGCATGATATCTAATCAGGGAGGAACATGCTGCCATGTTCCCGCGGGATCACTAGTCGAGAGCCACCCACGTCGTGCTCCCGCGTGGGTGAATTAATGAGACAACGGCCGAAATGCGATCCAGCAACGGTTGCCCGGGGAAACCCCTAATTTTGTGTGTTCTCACTCAGCGATAACCACGGAAGGAAAACATCGCAGGTCGTTTAATCGCGATGGCCTACTTTGGTTTTGCGTGGTGGCGTCGGTGTTGAAAAATTCGAGGTCGTGAAAACGGGAATTGTTCAAGGTTTCTCGATGGTTTATGTCAGGTTCTTGGCAATTTGCCGATGATGATGTGCTCCAAAGTAATCAATATCCAGAGGAATTAAAGATAAGTAGGAGATTTTCGATTAGTCCGTACAAGTATTATCCTTTCCCATAGTCCAAGAGGCATCACAAGGCAGTTCCAGAGGTTATTAAAGTCAAATCCACAGGTTAAGGGTCAGGCCAAGTACGGAGAGTTCAACAAAGGCATGGATAGTCAAGAGATGTCAACGGGATGATCTAGACGATTTCTAAGGTCCATCAATAGCAATCAATAATCAATCAAAAACAGATCTTTGGTTCTCAGTTTATAGAATTTCAAGAACTTCAATTCCAGGTCCAGCATCATATTGAAAGAGTCATGAGAAAACCTTAGAATGTAAGGTCAATTATTTGATTGAAAATCTGTTCAGATTACTTCTAGTTCTACCAGATAATAGCTAAAAATAAGCGAGTTCAGGGTGCCCTCTGAATTTAAGGGGGCTGTGTCATTTCGCCGAAAGACGTTTCGCCAAATGATTCATTGGAAGCATTCCAATAAATCAATTCAATATTCATCATTTAGAAAACAATCATGTTCAAAAAAAGGAAACATTTCTAAAAATGTAAAACATTGATAATGCAGTGCAACTCTAAAGAACTTCCATATTCAAAAGAAGGAAGCATTACATTAAAATCTTGCCTGCCAGGTTGAAAAAATCCAACCTTCTTTTTCTTTTTTCGACACTGATTTCATATACTGAGCTTTGAGAAAAGTTCAAAACCGTAGAAAATGGCTTGCTCTTCGGCGAAATGACCCATTCGGCAAAATGACCTTCGGTGAAATTACCCATTCGGCGAAACGTCCCGCTCCTGAATTTATGAAATGAATTCCCGGGTTTTTGCAGGTTTTTCTCGGTTGCTCAACATATTTTTCCCGGCTATTTATAAACAGCTAAATATGGTAAGAAAGTGTATATCAGCAGAAATTGATGTTACTGGAAAAGCTACGGCATTTTATTTTAAATGCAGCTGTCTAGATAAAAAAAAACCTTTTCACCTCAATTTTGTGATAAAAAAATATTTTTAGGATTTTGAGGATTTAAAAGGTTTCAAATTATCAAGATATGTTACGATATTTTTTAGAAGTTTAAAATTTACCGGTGGCTGATCTTCAATATGACTCACTAAAATTCGAAAAAACACGGTTTCTCATGGACTGAGTAAAATTTTTACTCATGTAAAACTTTACTCAGTGAGTGTCCCTAAATTCCGAATTTTTTAGGGCCTTCATGTTTTTAGATGATTTGATATAGGCCAACAGTTCGTCAGCCTTAATCTCGGATTCCTCGGAAAAAAATATTGGGAATCTGATGGAGGCTGGTTGCGTTTTCAGCAACCTCAGCTTCGTGAGGGCTGACGATGTTTTGTCCGAGATTATGAGAGCTGACAAAGTGTTGACCTATCGCGGCAGCCTTCTCTTCAGGAGTTATCAGATGAACCACTGGGTCGCCGGGACTATCCAGTGGGGTCAGTGGTGGAATGGGTCTTGGCTTATTTTTAAGAATTTTGGTTAGTGTCCAAAAGGGCTTTGCACAATCTGGGAGAGAGCGGATCCTGTTAGCAAAGACCTGACTTCTGAGGTCCACCATCCTGGCTTGGATGGTTTTTGTCAGGCGATTACAGTGGGTCTTAAGGACAGGTAGACCAGAGCGTTGGTACTGCCTTCGGATGGTGTTACGGAGTCTTATAAGGTCTTTGGTAGATTTGTCAAGGTTCAGAGTATTGCTCATCTGCCTGGATACTGGCACGTGTTGTTCCCTGGCCCGGGATATCGCCTCCTCGATGGAATGCAGACACCGGTCAACGTCTTCGGGCGTCTCCGGAACAACACCGTAGTAGAAAGTGGAGTCGTTACAGTGTTGGAACTGATCCCATCTGACGCGATGGTAGTTGCGTCGGGAAGCTTGAAATCGGTTGATGGATGAGCCCACATCGGCCACCACCGGATAGTGGTCTGAACTTAGCTCCTGGTGGGTCACAGGTTGCGAGATGTTGCCTCCCACATTGCTGACGAAGATGTCGATGGCGAAGTGTACGCCAGACCGGCTCAAGCGGGTGAGCCTCTTGCAGGTCGTCGTTCAGGATTTAGCCGTTTTGGTAGCGTCGACTGTTGCTCCAAGCCTGGTGTTTGGCGTTCAGGTCGCCAGCGATGAGAAGTACATCATCGGCGTCGAGTCAGTCTGATGATGTCTCTCCGCAGGTCTGCTGCCGACCCGTCCCTGATGGTGGCTTGTTTGGGACAGTAGGCCACAATGATGGTAATAGTGCCGACAGAAGTGGAGACTTCCACACCCACCGCTTCGATCATCGTCAGCTGGAAACTCGGTAGCAGTCGACAGCCAATATTTCTCCTTAATGCGATAGCCACTCCTCCTCCGCAGGAGCTGGTCCGGTCTAGTCTTACGAGCCGATAATCGGGGAGTTGAACATTTATCTCCGACTTCAGGTGTGTTTCGGTGATGACGAAACGAACTCAATGATTTTGCTCTTGAGCGAGCAAGCGTTCCAGTTGGCTATTTTAATGACTTCACGGTCCATACTTTTGCACGAAGGTCATAACTGCACGAATTTGTTCAGGTAGTGTCTTGGTGGTGCGTAAGATTATGATCACCTCAGTCACGAGGGTCACTAGTTCGTCGCTTGTGAGTGGAGAATTTTCTTCTGTCTCACCTGACACAGCACGGGCGTACGATAATCCCGGGGCAGTAGAGCCATGGCTCGGCTGGGCCGCAGCGGCAGTGAGGCGATGCTGAAATGAACGGTGGCTGGGACCCGCTTGATCTGACGTTGGATTCGCAACGGGGGGCGCTGGTTTAGTGAAAGCGGTGCTAGGTTCGGGACCATACGACGAGCCTGAAGTACTGGAAACGTGTCCATGTTGACAATAGGAGCACGATTATTGTGGTGTCGACCAGGTTGGTTCCTCGTGGAAGCCTGTTGACGGATCTGGATGAAGGCCGCTCGCTTGGCTCGCCCAGATGGTTGGAATCACAGTTCACGCACTTAGGTTCAGCTTCTTCTTCCTTCTTGCAGGCGGTAGTATTGTGAGCCCCAGCACATTTGCCACAACGAGCTTTCATGTGACAATTCTTCGTACCGTGCCCAAATGCCAGACAGTTAGTGCACTGTGTCACGTGACGGTGCCGAGGGCGATACTGCTCCCACTGAATCACGATGTTGAACAGCGCGCGAATCTGCCGCAGAGCAGCCACGTCTCGCAATGGGAAAAATGTTGATTGGTTGCCGATGAAGGTGCTCCAATTCCGCTTTAATCTCCGCAACAGGGAGATTTGGAAGACCACGGATCACTATTTTCAGTGGTTTTCTTCCAGGGACGTCGTGTCGGAGCCGTACCAGACTCCAATGATGGGAATGGTGGGACTTCCTAGTTCTCTTGCGGCAAAACTAATTGTGTCCTGAGAAGACAGGAAGGGAAAGGGTGCCGCTCAAACAGGAAGTCTTTGTAAAATGAGTGTTCTGCTCAGGCGCTTGGGATAACGAAAAACTCTTCTTGTCCTGATAAGGACGGTTGGGATTCCGCAAGCCCGTCGACAGCAAGCACTCAACCAGCGGTGGACTGTATTTAAAAACGCTGTACTGCTCCTCCTCAGTTGAACACAATGCCGGATCAGAGGATGTTGTAAAAAAACTAGGATCGCTTCAATTATTTATTTTCCTCTTGTTGTATACAGTTTGACATCTAAAACCATACTAATACTAATGCCACTAGCTGCGCTGCTTTTATACTATCGTGCTGCTTCTTCTTCATCTTCTGGTTTTCGCCTTGCTCGATCGTTGGTTGAGAGAAATTTAACAAATGGGTGGGGCTTACGACGGGCACTGACTGTCGTTCGCGTTTGGGCGTGAACACGTCGTGAGTGTAGAACTCAACCCGGTTCAGCTCAAGAAAAGTGCCAACAGCGTTGTAGTCCGCCAGCGTTGAGCACAAGATTTTGATCCCCGTGCTGCACAGCTTGAACAGCCAGCTCATTCCTGAGCAACGCGAGTTCCTTCGTCGAGGTGAACAGTGGGGGAACTTTTTCCCGTTTCTCAACTGGAGCTACATCTGCTTCTTCGAGGAGTGCCGATAACGGATTACTCTGAAGCAACCTTTCCGCTGGCACCAGCTAATAAGAACAAATCTACCGAATTTTCCATATGATTCGAATGGCCCTTCGGTCATTTTCAACTTCTATTCAATGTTCATACTGCCGTAATCGAACGGAACTATCTACCTACCCTCTTCTAAGATCATTCTCCACCTAATAAATTATCACACTAAAGCTTCATGTTAGATAGCATTTCCAATCAACTCTGAAAATTTCAATCTTCACGTATGAAGTAACATAAACACACTTTTAGTGGATTAAATGACGTTTCTAATTTTCCCATTTCGGACCACAGTGAATTGAATTAATTGTATTTTTCAAACTCAAAGTTAGTCAAATTTTAATCAAGACAACAATCAAAAGAAAATCACCAAACAATTTGTCAAAGAAAGTGCTCCTTTGTC